AAAAAAAAAAGTATCCATTAGCCATAGATCTAAAAATATACATGCCTTTATTTTCTTCTAATCTTTTAGTGGTGAGACCATTTCATGTATCTACTTGAACTTATTTTTGTATATGGTATAAGATGTTGATCTAAACCTAATTTCTGACCAACTGCTTCCTAGTTTTCTCAGCAGTTACCATCATGAAGAGAGTCCTTCCCCCAATAATTTATGTGCTTATTTTTTATGAAGCACTGAGCTACCATTTTCAATTACATTTGTTTCTTGTCCATGACTTCTTCTAAATGTGTTTATATTGCTAAACTGGTGTTGCTTCTGCAATTTTCTGCTTGGCAACAAAATCAAGAGTATGGAAATAGTTATAACCTACATCTATTTCTTTTCCTTTATTAATTTCACACTTTTGGACTATCAATAGTTGCTTTTTTTTAAAACCATTTTTGTCCTCTTTTCAAATCTGGTGCTGATTTTGACCTTTCCTCTAATGAGTTAAAGATCTGACTGAAAAGAGATGATTTGGAAATGACTCACATCAATAATCAATCATTTTCCTGCCTGCTAAGATATAATCAACTTTACTTTTCATTAATCTGTTCCCCATTTTTCAATTTCAATAGTTTGTTAGAACAGGTGAGGTTGGAGTTGTAATTTCATACAATGTCTTCTCTTGTCTTTGAAGTTGGCATTACTTCTGTCTACAATAGTCTAACAAGTCAGTGGTTTGACTGTACATAGACAACTGGTTTGCAAATGATTGATCAGTATACATCAGGGACTAGTCATTTCCTGCCTTGTGAAGCTAGAGTCGTATAATTTTTTGTTTTTTTTTCTTTCACCCATTTTTCAACATCCCTGAATGTAATTACATGGGTTGGAAAGAAGTGAAAAAAATGTCACCAATTTTTTCAGTCTTCTACAAGCATCTTATACTTCTTCGCATAGAACAGAGGATGAAAGAAACTTAAAGTCCATCCGACCTACGTGCTATACATACATGCCTGTGGTGGGAAGGGAGCATGAGATTGTTTTCAACAGGGCACAGGGAAGAAAAATGCTTAGGGAAGTCTCATGGAAGAGATGGATCTTGAAGGGTCCTAGTGGATAATTTGTTTCCAGAGATTTTTGCTTATTCTGCTTTAACAAAAGATCCAACCCAGTGGATTCTATAAAGGACGTCTTTATTAGGGAAGTGATTGTGAAAGGAATAGCTCATGTGCCAACAATGGGATTGAATCTATTAAGTAACTCCACAGAACTGCAAAATGCTAACAACTTTCAGGCACCTCGAACCTAAGCTGAATACTGGCTAGCAACCTCAAAGAGAACATCTTCTCTTCACCTGTTACAATAGTTCAGGTTAGAGTTTTTATAATTAAACGCGATGTCTTCTTGTCTTTGTTCTTTTAAAATAGTTGGTTGTTGGCTTTTTAACACTGACTATCTAACAAATCGGTGTTCTGACTGCACACACACAACAGCTGGGGGATTGATTCTCACATTAGTCATATACCTTATCATTTTAGGAAGAAAGGAAACAAGTGCTTACCAAGAGCCTACTATGTGCCAGGCACTGTGCTAAGCCCTTTACAAAAATTCTCATTTGGTCCTCATAACAACCCTGTGAAATAGGTGCTATTATTATCACCCCCACTTTACAGTCAAGGATACTGAGGCACACAGAGTCTAGGTGACTTGCTTAGGATCACACAGCTAGGAAGTGGGGTTAGATTTTAACTCAGGTCTTCTTGACTCCAGGCCCAGTGATCTAACCATTACACTACCTAGCTGCCTCTATTTGTAACCAATTGTTTCCCATTTGTTAAGTATAGTAGCCAAGGCCCCTGTCACTCATGGGCCCCCTGAAAGCTATCCCAAGTTCTAGGTACTTTGAAGGTCAGAATCTTCTTGGAACCATAGTTCTTGAGCCCCCAAAGATGTTTACTAGCCATCCTGTGAACACACTTGGTTCAAATATCATAGTAATACAAACAATAGAAGAACATTCCCTCCCACTATAAACCTTGAGCTCATTCTTCTACAAATACAAATGCGCGTGCGCGCGCGCGCGCGCGCACACACACACACACACACACACACACTCAGTAAGAAGAGTGAACCTGTGTAAGGAAGACACATGGAGTATACACCCACGAGGAACACAGGATTCCAGCATACAGTTTGGGGGCAACTTGTGTGCCTGATATGGCAGAGCTGTTGATATTTTCTGTGGATGTCATCGTGCTATTCTCCGTTGGGTCTACTCTGCCCCAGGCATTGCTCTCTGAAACTCCCTGCTTGGCATGGCCCCTCATCTGCTTCCTATTCGGTGATACAGCTACGTTACTCCCCATTGGGTATCATATCTCTACTACAGCTGGTCTTCAACCCTCTAGCCATCCTCGGGTTCACGTACAGGCACAGTACATAGCATGCTGGACTTGGAGTCAAGAAAAACTTGTGTTTGAATCCAGCCTCAGACACTTCCTAGTTGTATGACTCTCAGCAAGTCATTTAACCTGTGTCTACCTCAGTTTCCTCACCTATAAAATGGGAATAATAATAACACCTACCTCAGCGTTGTGAGGATAACATTTGTAAAGCAATTTGCAAACCTCAGAGCACTATATAAATGTAAGCTTTTATTATTATTATTAATTATTGTCATTGTTATTATTACTTAGTACACTATCCAATATCCACTAGAGATATTGTGATTAATGAACCAGTCCCCTACAAGGAGGGCTATAGCTGTTTCAGCCAGCCCCTGTGGACTTCTCTTTTATCTTCTTTATTATCTTTGGGTGGGTTGTTTGGATTATTTTTGTCAGACCCACCTGCAACTCTGCCCTCCATTCACAGGTGTTCAAAGTTCTCTTCTCCTGGAGAGGACTGAAATCTCCCTCAATCAACTCTCTGCCAGTGGTGATGGAGGTCTTCCCCTCAACCAGGCCTCTCACAAAAGGTAGCAGATGGCCACACCTGTTCTTTGAATTATTCTTCTAAATTTCTCTTACTATCTTCTCTGAGTTCAACTCAAATCCATTTTAGTTCTTGATTCCAATCCTATCCACCTTGCTGAGGTAATTATTCCAAAGGCTTAACTTCCTTAAACAGAAAAGGTACTGAAAAGGTACTCCAATGATGAAGCTGCTTTTTAACTTTCCCTTTCACATGTCTGTGGTCTATGCACATGACAAAGACAAGGCTGCCTGGACAAGATGAAAAAGGCTGGTGTCTTATGGCTCCCTTCCTGCCACCCCCTTAGCAAGAAATCACAGCCTGTAGTCATTTTACATAAGATATAGTCGATTTCACTTTGAGGTTCCTATTCTTGAAAAGTATTTGAGTCATACAGTTATAAGGCTTTGGGATAGTTTATTAACTTTTGGTCTCTTTCTTGAGCTATACTTCCATAGATAGGTAGGTAGGTAGATAGACAGATGGATGGATAGACAGACAGACATATAGATAGATATAAATGTAGATGTAGATATATATATCTACATCTATATATATATATACACTCATAGATACACATAAGTATATATAATATGTATGTAAATATAATAAATATAATATTTGCTATCCTTTCCTATGCCCAGATTTGCATTGAAATCACTGAGAATTAGTGTATGTGATCTTATAAATTCTGCCACTGTTCCTGAAGAGAGTATATCAATCTACTCCCCTTTGACCTCACTTACCGTATGTCACCCTGTAACATTGGTACATCCACTTATTAGGCATTGGAAAAGGATCTCCCATTTAGACTGCCAGGAGTTAAATTAATGTTTATAGATGGACCAGAAGCTGTCTTACTCTTAGCAATCTTTGGTCCCTTTTCAGCTACTCTGCTGTCCCCTTTCAGCTACTCTGCTACTGCCATTGCAAAAGCAAAAGAGGGGAGACACAAAGGAATGTGAGGGTTTTTTTTTTCATTTTTCTTTACTTCATGGTTTGCCATGATTACAGACTTGATCACCGAGTGGCCAGGCTACTGGTGATGAGCTTCTCTGCACTTAGCTAGGCTGGTCTTTGGAAAGTAGACCAACTCCAAATCTTGATAAAACCTGCCAGAGCTTACTATCTGTCGTCAAAGGCTTTAGGAACACTGCTTAACCCTATCACTATTAGAGGGTGAATTTGAGAGACAGCCTGGTGTAGTGAAGAAAAACTGGGCTTGGGGTCAGAAGATCCGGGTTCAAATATCTTCGCAAATAAGCTTTTCTACTTATTAACCACATGATCAAAGGCAAACCACTAAGCTCTCTGTGTACCAGTTTTTTCATCTATAAAATAGATATGATAATACCTGCACTTACATCCTTGTAGGGTTGTTGTAAGAAAAATGCTTTGAAAACTGTTAGGAACTATAGAAATGAGACAAATCCACTATTCTTGTTGTTAAAAAAATTAATTCTCTCAGGGTTTTTTGCCTCAAAGAGGAGTTATTTTAATTCCATTATTAAATTATACTCTTGCTAAGAAAGTAGTTTGTGCTGGTACAGCTAACCAACCAAACTCCTCTGTATATTTCACCACACTAAAGTAATACATGAGAATGCAATGCAATATTTTCTGTTACCTGAAATGGGGAGAAGGGAAATTGAAGAGTGATGTGTAAGAAATACTATTTCTCTGTCCTTATATAACAAGGAGGAAATTGCCCAGTCCTGCTCATTCTAATATCACTGGAGTAAACAATTTTGAGGGGGGAAAAGTAGACCTCAAAGCTCCTGGTATTGGAAAAAATATTCCATGGTCTTTTTTTTTTCCCTTCTGTGGGTTTGTTCTGTAAATTGTGTGTGAGACAAGTATGCAGAACAGGGATGTTAAGCTAATTACTTGTCTTCAGATACTTGGTTACCCACTCCAAATAACCCACATACGGTAGCATTCGTGTAGAATGAAACTCTGCCCTTTAGGCAAGATCAGCTGTTGAAGTCTCTTCTTTCGTCAATTAAAATTTTTTTATTCCAATATTTGTACTTTTCCATCTAGGATAAAAGCATGCTCTTCTTTTGTGGTAGCATATAAGTTTCATGGAATTTTTATGATTCAAGTCCTCATCCTTCCTGGGTTAGGTTAAATTTATACCAATATTAATTTTCATTACTCATCTGTTATCATTTACAGAACTATAGAAAGAAATGTTCTGACTTCTCCATCTCAATTCTTAATTAAGCATCTTTTTTCCATCAAGAGTCATGCCTTTGGTTCTTTCTAGTAGATTAAGTTGGGTGGTGGGAGGGAAAGTAGGGCTTTTTTAAAAATGATCCTTCACTATCAAAAGGCAGATATCCCAAGGTGTAGAATCATATGTGATCATTAGAAATGACTGCAAATATTTACATTCCTGCTATGTAAAAGATTCTGTTTTGGGGGGCTGGAGATACAAAGTTAAACAGTCCCTATCTTCAAAGAGTTTCCAGTATTTTGGAAAGATATAACATGTACAAAAATGTATTACAAAGTTATTGAAGATACAGAGCACACAAACAACTGGTAGGATAAAGGTAAGCTTTGTGGATAAGGAGACACTTGATCAGGAGGATGAAGATTCTGAGAGGTGGAGAGGAAGAGGTAGGGTATTCCAGGTATGAGGTCTGAGCAAATGCATGGAGGTGGGAGATGATATATTGAGTTTGACTGAAATCAATTCATCCTTGAAAAGATTAGTTTGTTATAAATGTGGAAAAGTAGATTTGAATCAGATTGCAGAAGGCTGTAATTTGTATTTTACTAGTTGACTCTAAGTAACTTGCTTACAGGTAGCAGCTGTTTCATTTTTGTCTTTATATACTTAACACCTGGTGTGGCCCATAATAGGTGCACTAGAGTGATCTCGTTTCCTCCTCAGTTGAATTGAGATTTTGTCTTAATCCTACATCATAGAATACCCCTGACTCACGTGTTCTTATTGACTGAACTAATCTCTATGACTTTTCTGATTGCTGTTTTACTACTTTCTTTGATAAATAGGTTTGCTTGTTATCCATGATTGTCTTTTGTGTGAGAAGCATATGATAAGAGGAAAGCTATTACTTAAGACATTAAGCTATTACCTTCTGGTGAACTTCTTCTCTCTGTCCCTCTTCTGTCCCATCAGCAACCAGGGAAAGTGATTTTTGTACTAAAATTTCAAAATAGAATTGTGCCCCTAGAGTGAAAATATCTGGTGTGTGATAGATACAATTCTGGCTTTATAGCCATCTTGAAGATAGGAAAGCATAGGAGTGAGCTCCCAGCCACTGCTCTCTTCTAACCCCCAAGTCAGAGGTGTAAATAGAGTCTCTTCAGAAATACAGAGCTCTGTAAATCCCTACAACACATCAGCCAGCTGGTCCTTTTTGAATCAAAATCTTCATTTATATTTATTTTATGGATTTTAACTTCTTGATGTTCTGATAACCAATTTCCATTAGATCCTGCACCTCCCTCCTCAAGATTTGGGGTGCAATCTAGCTTGACTATGCTGAATGATAACCCTGCTTAGATCTTTGATCTTTAAAATGGGGGCTGCACATGTCCAGTGGTATGAGCCATAACCGAAGGCACCTAGAGCATGATCTCAAGAGCTGGAGAGTGGGAAGATGGGTTATAGCTCACCCTCCCATTGAGAGTCAACCATGGGGTTTGTCTCCATTACACTTACACAATTCTTTCTCCACCCTGCCCCAGAGCTGACCTCTTATGGTTATTACATATTACAAGCTCCCAACCTTCTCCTTTCTGCCCCAAGAACTGGCCCCCCAAGGCAAACCATGCCGTAGATAGTCAGAGCAGTTGTGCAGACGCCTCTGCGAATATCCCCCTACCCTCAGCTACCAACAACCTGCTTTCCCCAGCCCCCACCATCACCTCTTGGCTGTAACAATCACCTTTGGTTGGCAGGTTTTGGGCTCCCGAGCAGTGACAAGTGAGTAAAAGCCCAACCCTACTCACACCCTCCTCTTATTTATTTATTTATTTTTGGCTAGGACAAAACGAAAAGCTTGTCCATGGACAGACATGAATGGGTTGTGATCTGCATAGCAAATTTCATTATAATATTCCCTTCCACCCCAACCTGACTCTTCTCCAAATTCATTTATTTCTTCTGAGGACACCACTCTTCTTCAGGTCTCCTAGGTTCTTATTCTTTTCATAACCTTTGATTATGGATTCAATAAAAGCTGCTCTTTTCAAAGTTATCAATGACCCCTTAATAGCCCAATCGGAAGGGTTTCCTTTCTCTTAGTCCTCATCTTTTCTTTTTTTTTTCTGTATGAAGTATTTGACCTTATTGACTACACTCTCCTCCTGGGACCCTCTTTGAATTGCTAAAAACAACATAAATTGTGTCATCTATAAAAACTCACATCTGAATACTTTTTAAAAATTGGAAACAGAATTTTCTAAGCTGTTTAAAAATCTTCCAAAGGAAGTTTCATTGGGTTTTGAATGCATTTGTAAAAAAAAATTTTTTAAATGCAGCCCCACCCAATTCATTTGCAAGAACAGCTGATTGACATCAGGGACAAGGAGGCTTCGATAGCTGAGTTTTGACTGAAAAATTAGTATCATGTTTAAATAAAGTATAACCGATGACTGGCTTCTTCCATTTGGATCTATTAAGGTTGCATTTTTTCCTTAGTTATTATAATAACTATTTTAAAAAGCATCAAAATAACCTATCCTTGGAATCGGACCTTTGCGATTGCTATGTCAAAGAGTGTTAAATCAAGGCTTTTAATAATAATGAAGTATATTCAACCACAAAGCTCTCTTTAAAATATGATTGTTAATAATCACATTTTAGTATGAGTAAGAAGTCTTCCGTACATTAATAAATAAAATGTTATTTTAAAAATATCATTTTCTACTTATCTCATCTTTTTACATTTCCATTTTGGGGCAAGTTTTATAAAGTCCATAATTACTAGTACAGTAATACATGTGTAAATTTACAAATACATAAATTTACACATATTGGAGGTGTATGTTCAATTTTTTTATTATGGCAGTACACAATCAAAAAAGCTTGGAGACTACTAGCTTATAGTAATTACTACTAGGTCCCAATTAGTGCAAATAAGGAATTGTAAGAAGTGGTTGCATTATTTATTTGAAATAATAATTACATGTAAAATATGGTTGATAATGGGTTCTAACCCAGTGGAAATATGAAAAAAAATTTGAATAATGTGGCCACTTCATGGGACTCATTATTGGCTCTAATTGTGACTTAGCTATATTCTAATTGATTTTATATTTTCTTGTCAAAGAGAATGTCTGCACCTTATCCCCACCTTTCCCCCTCTATTTTAGTCAAGACATAAGTAGGTTCTGCAGCTCAAACATTTTGATTTTCTATTATTTTAGGTTGATAATATCTATATTACAGCAAACAAACATTTGGAGAAATAGTGTCTTTTAAAAAAACTGAGTTTACATTTTTTTCTCCTACTAACTGAAATCTCTTCAATTATATCTTTCTTTACCTTTAATCAAGGGAATTTTATTGCTCATTCATTTCAGTTGTGCCTGACTCTTTGTGACCTCATTTGGGGTTTTCTTAGCAAATATACTGAAGCACTTTGCATTTTCTTTTCCAGTTCATTTTACAAATGAGGAAACTGAGACAAACAAGGTTAAGTGATTTGCCCAGGGTCACACAGCTAGTAAGTGTCTGAGGTCAGATTTGAACTCAGGTCTTCCTGACTCCAAACTCAGCCACTCTATCCACTGTTCACCTAGCTGGGAAAAGCAAGCACAACAGGACCCAGTTAGATGTTAGAGATCTTCTAATCCAACCTCCTTTTTTAAATAGATGGAGAAACTGAGGACCAGAGAGTAGAAGTGACCTGCCTACAATCAGGAAGGAAGTTAAGAGGCGAGCTGAGATATGACCCTTGGTCTTCTGATGCAGTGACCTTTCCACTCTCCCACAATGCTTCTCAACAAGAAAAAGTATAACCAGAAGTGAACACGGGCTGGTTATATAGTAAGAATAAGGAATAATAGATGGACAGGCTGAATGCAGACCCAGACAGTGGCTTCCAGCAAGTTGCCTTGGTTCTCTATGGAGAACTTACTGAGGACTGTGGACAAGAATCACACAGAATGAGGTATGAGCGACTCAGCCAACTTGTGTCAGAGGCAGGATTTGAATTCAAGTCTTCCTAACTCTGCTAGGAGTCACATGGTTTTCTTTGCATTGGGAGTGGGTAGGGCAGGGTTGTTGATGTCACAAAAAGGAGGCTCATTTGGATATATTCCATTTTTTAATGATTATACTCTGCTCCTATTTCTTGATACTTCCATGGATCAGTGATCTCATAGGCCTTGATATTTACTCCATTTATGCCAATGGCAGCCCACCCCTGCTTCCCCATCCTGTGCATCTTTCCATCTCTCATGAATCCTCCACAGAGGGTCCAGGCAAAAACCTGGTGACCCTCTCCAAAATCTCTTAATATGGCCCGTTTACCAGCAAAGCTGTATACGTTGTCCTTCACTCTTAGGTGACAGGGCCATCATTTTTTTTTCTTTCTGGTCACATATTTCTCTGATGACATTTTTTGTACAAATGTTTTTCAGCAATTTATTTGCACAGTCTGCTCATGTCCACCACACACTTATCCGTTGCATCTTTGGGCAAGCCTCCACTTAAATTCTGAAAGACTGTTCTTTTCCATCTTCCAGCAGCGCCAGAAGAATATCTGCCTTAAAAATCTGTCTTTCTTTCAGAGGGAAATTTGAGATATTAAAAGCACTGCACAATTTTCTAAAGGCTAATTTCTAAAGATATCTTGGTATAAGAAATAACTAGGTGGCACAGTAGATAGAGTGCTGGGCCTGGAGTTAGGAAGACTCCTTTTCGTGAGTTCAAATCCAGCCTCAGACACCTACTAGCTGTGTGATATACTGGGCAAGTCACTCACCCTGTTAGCCTCAGTTTCCTCATCTGTGATATGAACTGGAGAAGGAAATGGCAAACCACTACAGTATCTTTGCCAAGAAAACACCAAATGCGGTCACAAAGAATCAGACATGATTAAAAAACAAACAAAAAACTCAACAACCTTGTTATAGCAGATAGGGAGCCAATCTTAGGTCCAGGAAGACCTGAGTTCCAGTTCTGCCTCTTACTCTGTGTGTTACCCTGGGCAAGTCACTTACCCTAGGTAATAATCATATATAAACTTAATTTCAGTGTTGGACTTTTTATTTGAACAAAGTTTGTGTTAGATGTTAACACCATATAAACACCATCTCTAAATCTGGTTCTTCATCAAATTTATTTCCATTATTTGATTTAAAACAAAAACAAGGTGAAAATACTTACAAATATGTGGTAGAAAATGGTAGAATTTTACAAATTCTATTCCTGAGAAATGGAAATTCATTTTGCATTTTTTATTTGAACTCACAAAAAGGAGTCTTCCTAACTCCAGGCCCAGCACTCTATCTACCGCGCCACCTAGTTAGAAAAATAGCTAGTTATGACAGAAAATATTTACTTTTCTACTGGTTAATGACAAGCATTATATTAATTGATAAATGGATTTAATATCCAATTGCATGTATTGCTTCTTTTGCTTTTTTTTTTAAACAATATTTACCTATAAACTAACCTTTGTAAAGAAAGAATCTTTTCAGATGTAACTTTCTTACCTTCTACCACTGGCAAAACAGTTACTCTTTCACAAAACTTCTGCCGAATGACTGACCAGTGTTGCTAATAAGTTTCCTTGAAAATCTACTAGTTAGAAGAAGAGAAACATCGGTAGATGATAAGTACAGATCAGAAAACAGACTTAATACTACAATGAGAAGCAATATGAGGTTTCTTTCTGCAGAACATTTGTGATGGACCATGACAGTTTCAAAATGGTGCTTGCAATGTGCATAACCGAATATCACAGTTTTCAGACAGCCTGACATTTTGCTGCAAGAATGTAAACCCTGGTAACATCTTGATCACGTGATTACAGAGCTGATGCGCTATGATTACAGAGTAACAAAAGGGAAAGTGGGAGCTACTCTGGTGCAGGGTACAAAATGCAAATGAGGTCATGAGCATGTTATATGACCATCTAGTGGGAATTGGTTAGCACTCAAATAACCTTGTGGCAGTTTGAAAACAATTTGATAAGAGGTGGATAATCTGCAAGAACACATTATGCTTAGTCAGAAGTGGTCAGGTATTGGTGTATAGCAATTGTTTTTGTTTTGGCCAGAAATATCCTCCCAGATTGATTTTTTTTTTGTGACTAGATAAAGAGGCCAGGCCATTTTTTGCTTCCTTTCTTACCTAGTCTTAATCAATAAATGGGCATTGCCTCAGTCAAACTGATACCTGTTAAAGACCTTAGCTTAAAAAGGCCAAGGTCTCCCACTGCATCCAGGGCCATCTCCAGTCATACTGATCTATATCTCATCACTGAACCCAGATGGCTCAGGAGGAGAAAGTGAGGCTAGTGACTTTGCACAGCCCTCCCTCACTTAAATCCAATTCACTTGTGTGTCATGGCATCATCTCCCTGGTATCACAGTCTTCTTCAAGAATGAAGGACAAACAGCAGTACTGCAGGAACACCCAAATCATTGTGTGCATAATCATGACAGTTTCAAATTGCTGAAGAAACAAACCTATAATGCTTCAAAAGATGTGCTTGTTACAGAGGGAAAACATATTTGTAACATAATTTGGCAATTACTGTTTAAGGTCATTAAAAACATTTTTTAGTGTGACAAGTCACTTAATCCCAATTGCCTCACCAAATATATATATATACACACATATATATATACAAATATATACATATATATGTATATATATATGTGTGTGTATATATATATATTTAGCAGGAACTCCTTAGACTATTGTTGGAAACTCCCTAAGGAGTTCAAATCACTAAGTGAGAATCACTTCACTTACCAGTGCTCCCTCTCTCTCTCCGCCCAAAATTTAAGTCCTAAAGGAACAATAAGACACAAACTGTTTTTGATAAGAAATTCACTTGCTCTAGTTCATTTCAAAATACTGTGTTATTTCAAGTAAGGCATCATTTCCTGTGTACAAGAAAACACAAATAGTAGGCAATTAACTTTGAGTGATAGGCCTGGTTGGCCACAAGGACCAATTTTGGGGAGTAACTTCTGGTTAAATTTTCCTCAAAACAACCATAACATCAAGGTCCAATGAGAAGGCCACACATGTTTGCCTTCGTTGGCCTTTCAGGAAATGGCACACCTCGAATTCTGTGTACAGCTTAGAAACATGATTCTGCTGGAGAGCAAACCTATTTACATTTTAATAACACCTTAGCCTCCCAAGAGCTAGCTTTTTTCCTTGTTTGATGGAAGCAACTTTTGCATTCTTTTGCTGTTCTTAACTTCTTTCTGCTAATATCTCTAGAGCAATGTTCTCCAAACTTTTTGGCCTAACATCATTATCAGTAACACATTTTTGAGCATTCACCCCCATAAGTATATATATAACATGTATGTTTAGAAATAATATGCATATACTATATGAATGATCATGTACATTATAAAGCTTAAAATAGAAATTCAAAAAGGCTGAGATGGAGACAAAATAATATTTGTGGTGGTTGTTGTTAAGTTGTTTTTCAGTCATGTTCAACTCTCTATGACCCCATTTTATATTTTCTTGGCAGAAATGTTTCCTCCTCCAGCTCATTTTACAGATGAGGAACTGAGGCAAACAGGGTTTACTTGTTCCGAGTCATATAGCTAGTAAGTGTCTGAGACTGGATGTGAAGTCATGAAGATGATTCTTCCTGATTCCAAGCCCAGTGCTCTATCCATTGTGCCACCTAGATCCTAGTCAAAAGAAAGTACCTGGAATTTATTGAATAGGAAGGTAATATGGTCAATCCCACCCTTTAGAAAAAAATCACTTGAATGAAGGAAAGATTGGAGTAGAAAGCAACTGGAGACCAGGAGACCAATTAGAAGGCTACTATAGGAGTCCAGAGGGAGATGATGAGGGCCTTCACTAGGGAGGTAGATGCATGAATAAGGAGAAGGGGAGAGATGTGAGAGGTGAGAGAGAAAGGACAGGATTTGGCAACTGATTGGATATGGAGGGTGAGGGAAAAGGAGAAGTCAAGAATGGTAGGAGTTAAGTTATAGCTTCTCTGAGGCATCCACCAGGAAGAGAGGAGATTGGGAGCTTTCAAAATAAGAGGAAGAACCAGAGTGAAGGAATGTTGGGGGATAAAAGCAGGTGTGGTTGCATTAGAGACAAGCCCATGGCCAAGGGTGGTGGTAGAGGAATGAGATAACAATAGTAACAATAATAGCTAGCATTTTATATTACTTGCTTTGCAAAGTACTCTACATATATTACTTCATCTGATCCTCACAATGATCTTGGCAGGTAGATGTTATTATTATCTCCATTTTACAGATGAAGAAAGTGAGGGTAAGACAGGTTAAGGGACTTGCCCAGGGTCACACAGCTATTAAGTATACAAGGCAGGATTTGAACTCAGGTCTTCCTAACTCCAAGTTCAGAACTCTAACCACTAGCACTACCTAGGTGCCATGTCTCTCACCCCCACAATCCAATACTGGTTGCTCACCCCCAACTTGTCTTGAGGGTCAAGCCATGGTTCTTGCATTTCACCGTCTGGCTAATTCATTTGTTCAGCTGCCATATCTGATGTTACCTTACCATTATTCATTGCCCTTCCCTAGTTTCCCAGGTCTTTTCCTTTCTTGTGTAAGTCTCAGAATTTTCCTGCCATCTGCTTCTAAGACTGTGATTAAAAAACCTTAAATTTGTGACCCTTTCATTTTATTGTCTGGGGCGTGCTCTGTCTCTATGCTCTCCAGATTGATCCCAGAACAGTGCAATAAACATTTTCGCTGAGCAGTGAAAAAAAATCTGCTTTTCCTTCTCTTTCCACCCTGGGTCCATCATTACTCATTCTCTGGTAAAAGAGAACTGGATTGCTGAACATTTTGGAGGTTTGCAAACAAAGGCCACTGTGGGTTTATTCATTATTCCCAAGCAATACGTTCATTGCTGAACTTTGAAAATCTAGGGACCAAACTTGGGAACAACTTGGTTTCTCCCCTCCTACCCACCTTC